GAGCCCGATGTGGGACTCGATCCCAGGACTCTGGGATCATGACCTGAGCCGAAGGCAGACGCTCAACCATCTGAGCCACCCAGGCGCCCACTCCATCACTTTTGACCAACTCTGCAAGACCAGTAGGTCTTAACTTTACTTACTTTTTATCATTATTTTTTTAAAACCTTTTGTCATGTCAATGTTTGATTATTCATAAGAGCAGGGCAACCCTCTCGGATCCCCTCCCTCCTCAGGAGCTTACCTTGCTTTGCTGCCCAGCAAAACAATAAGAAAATAAAACATATTTGTAAGAGTAGAGCCCCACAGCCCATGTGCCCATCAGCCAGGTCCAACAGTTACCAACACATGGTGGATGGAGCGCTTGTCCCCTACAGCCCACCTCCGATCTTTCTGAACTGGACATTTAAGAGGCCTGTGGCTGGATCTGCCTTGTCTCTGCTGATGTTCACTTAGGAATCAGCACTCTCCTTCTCCTTCTTCCTTTTTTTTGACATCACATCCAAACAAGCTAAGCTCCATTATAAATTTTATAAAGGAAGAGTGTGAACGAAATTCATTAAGTTTATAAAGACCAGTTGTGAGTGAGATTAGAGTAGGTTTTGAAACATCCAACAAACCCTATGGATGCCAACGTATTTCCGTCTGCAATTCAGTTCCACTGCTTTAGGTGCTGTTCTGACAACTTCTCACCTGGGTTTCTGGAGCCCTCTCCAACTTTCTTTCCTCGATGCTGCAAGAGACATCCTTCTAAAATATCTCCTGAAAATGCCATTCCCCTGCTTTGAACTGCTGAATGACTCCTCAGGACTTTAGAACAAAGCTAGGACAGCTCTTCAGTCTGCCACCTCTGGTGTTACCTCTCTCCAAATCCTACATCCAGGATCTGTTCTCCAGTCACAGTGCTGATCTTCTTGGCACACTGTTCCTCTGCCCTTCTTCCTCTAGTAACCCCCGTGTGCCTTCAAAGCCCGCTCTACTTGATCTTGCCATGCACACTGCTCAGTCTTCACTGAGCCACTGGTGAGACCCACCCCCAGACCGGGAAGGGCCTGAGGGCCTACACTTGTTTTTATCGCCTTTGTTTTCCCAGGACAAAGCAGAGTGCCTGGCATAAAATAAACACATTCACATGTCTGAATAAATGTCCAAATCTTGCTCTGCTCTGCTCATGTTCTTTTCTTGGAAGGGTAATTATTAATGGATTTATTAACCATTGCTTTGAAATCTACAGCTTGCCCAAGGAGTTGACTTTTAAAACCTGATTTTAAATAATGGTATTAAGTCACTTGTAGGGGTCACTTTGACTGCCTGACATCCATTCTCTCTAGTAACAGCACCTTAATTTCCCTCGGGGAAATCCACTTTCCCACATGCTCAATGCAGTTCTGGTGGGACTGACGCATCCCCACTTTGGGGAGGGCTCCCTACCCGGGTCTAGCTAACTGATTAGAGCCCAGATGAATATCAGGCCAGAGTTCACCTGCAATTATAGGGAATAGGCACTCTTTTCCCACAGGAGTGATAAGTGGAATGGTGGTTTTAAAATACGTTCACAAACTCTTTGGTGTGACTCCCTTAAAAGGTGAAGTCTTTTGTACTTAATAAGGCTGACAAATAGAATATGGCAGAAGTCACAGAATCAGAATTCCTGAGCTAGGCCACAAAAAGCACTGTGGTTTCCATCCGCCCTGCCCCCCCCTCCCTGATCACTGACTCTGAGGGAAGACCACCACCACGTGAGGACGCAGGCCCTATGGAAAGGCCCACCAGGCAAGGAAATAAGGACTCCTGCCAACAGTTAGCAAGGAACTGAGGCCTCCAGTCTTTGGCCATGTGAGTGGGTCATCTAGAATCAGACCCAAGAGTCCTGGTCCAGGCTTCAGATGACGACAGCACCAGCCAATGTTTTGGTTGCAACCATATGAGTCTCTGAACCACAATCACCTCACTAAGCTACTCCTGAATTCCTGACGGACAGAAACGGAGATAATAAATGTTTGGGGCACCTGGGTGACTCAGTTGGTTAAGCATCCGACGCTTGATTTTGGCTCAGGTCATGATCTCAGGGTTGTGAGATCAAGCCCTGTGTTGGGCTCCATGCTGGGTGTAGAGCCTGCTTGGGACTCTTTCTCTCTCCCTTTGCCCCTTCCCACCTCTAAAAAACAAACAAATAAATAAATAATAAATGTAGGATGTTTTACTCCATTACTTCTTTTTTTTTTAAGATTTTATTTATTTATTTGTCAAGAAAGAGAGCACAAGCAAGGGAGAGCGGCAAGCAGAGGGAGAGGCAGGCTTCCTGCTGAGCAAGGCGCCCGATGCGGGACTCAATCCCACAACCCCAGAATCATGACCTGAGCCGAAGGCAGATGCTTAACCGACTGAGCCACCCAGGGGCTCCAATCCATTAATTTTTATGTTGATTTTTATGCGGCAGCAAATAACTAAATAAGTAGGTAGGATGGAGGCAGGAACCTAAGAAAAAAGCCAACACAGAAACAGGGCAAAGAGGAGGTATGTGAAAGGATGGGGGACCAAGAAGACCTCCCCCACACACCATTACCAAGTCCTGATGACCTAATTTAAGCCATTGGCCCCTCCTATTCTTGGTCCTCTGAACTTTCCCATATGAAAGCCCGTAGAATGCCGCCATAGGTTGAGCTAGTTTTAATGGATTCTCAACACTTGAAACCAAAAGCACTCCAATCAGTGCAACAAGGTCCAGAGAGCTGGTAAAATGTGCAAATAAATGTCCACTTGATACTTGGATCATTTCCATCTCATCCTTCCCTGCTCTGTACTTTGTCTTTAGCATGCTCTCTTTCTCTCTATATATATACATATTTAAAGATTTTATTTATTTATTTGACAGAGAGAGAACACAAGCAGGGGGAGCAGGAGAGGGAGAAGTAGGCTCCCCGCGGAGCAGGGAGCCCGATGTGGGGCTCGATCCCAGGACCCTGAGATCATGACCTGAGCCCGAGGCAGACGCGGAATGGACTGAGCCACCCAGGTGCACCCCGCATGCTCTGTATTTTGCTTATTATCCATATCCTTCCACAGAAATGGAGCTCCTTGAGGACGGGAATCCTGTTTTGTTGAGTGCTACAGTCTCAGCACCTAGAACCATGCCTCGCACCCAGCAGACACTCAGTGTCTCTAACTGCCTGCTCCCTGAGAAGCTGCAAGGAAGTGGTGCAATCTGGTGGCGGCACCAGAAAGACATTCCCAGCCGGTACCGGGAGAGGAGCCTATCACACAAGCTCCTTAGCTGAAATCCCACGGTTTCCAAGAGAACCCGAAAGTAACTGCAGTTGCCTCCTCTGATAGCTTAGGCTGCTCAAGGTCAGGCTCTCAGTCAGATCACTGCCAATCAATTTGTAGGGGAGCAAGGAACTCTCTGAGAGCGACCTTGCCTTTTTCCCTGTCGAAGTCTGCCTGTCTTGTTCAGTAAGGCAGGCTACGTCTGTGCGAGCGATGTCCCCCCTACACGAGTACACGTCAACTGACCTTCGGGGTACTTTGCGAGTTCACTGTCCGGACGACAGAGAGAGGAGGACGGAGGCCGTCTTTGCACATCGGCTTCCGTGGTCCTACATTTTGCATCGCCCGCGGGCAAGCGGTGCAGCACCCTCAAGAGCACCGCGAGTATAGACTGGCTTACCTACTGTGCCGCCGACGTGGGGCGGGAAGCTTCCTACCGGGAGTAAATCCGGTCTTTGGGGCAGCTGGGGCTGGCGCGGACCGCCTCCGGGAATCGGACCTGCCGACCCGCTGGGGCTGGAGGGCTGGCGGAGCGGGCTGGCCGTGGCCGCGGCCGCTGCGCCAGCCTGTCCGCCCACACCGCTGCACGGACACGCGTGGACCCGCCGCTGGGCGAGGCGGGCGACACCGTGGGCGGGGTCTCGCTGGCTGGCAGTCTCCCCGCGCCCGGATCGCCCAGGCGAAGAGGAGCTTTCGCGAGCGAAGAGGTGGGGCCCCGCGCGAGCCCCGCCGCGAGCACGCGCGAGGAAGACGAGGCCGCGCTCACTCTCGGGCCGCCGCCGCGCTCCTCGGCCCCGCCTCCGAGCGTCACTTCCGGCCGACCGGAGCCGAGGCGGAAGCGCGCCAACCGAGCGGGGTCCTCGCGGCGGGAGGTGGTTGCTGAGCGGTGCGGCTGGCGGGGTGGCGGCCCCTGCGGAGGCGGCGGCTCTGGGGTCGCGCGTCGCGCCGGCTCGCGTGGGGGTCTGGCGCCGCGGCCCTTTGAGGTGGCACCTCCTGCGGCCTTATTGCGCTTCCCCGGGCTGGCGCACCCTTCCACGCGGTTTGCTGGCCGTGGCCTTTCCCCTGCAGCGCCGCTTCTGGCCGCAGGTCGGTCTTTCTGTGGCGTGGTTTGCCTCTCTCCGCTTGTTGCGTTGCGCTCTGCTCAGGGTACCGTCTTTACCCGTGGTGTGTGCGGTAAATATCGCCGTTCGGGGTGCCTTTGACGAACGCAAGTCTCCGTTTTAGTATAGAAAAATAAATCAGTCTTTTACGGGTAGTCCTTTTGTGCCCTGTTTGAGGAATCCTTCGTTACCCCTAATAAATCTCCCACATTTCCCCCAATGGTTTTAAAGTTTCCATTTTAACATTCAGTTTTTATTTCGGTTTGGAATAGATTTAGGGCGGTGTAAGGAGGCTACGTGCTTTTCTTCATCAGGGGGATAACCTGCAGCGCTAGTGCCATTTATTTAGTCTGTCTTTTCCCCAAGGGCACCTGCCACACTTAAAAAAATCTGGATATGCACGAGTGTCTTCATTAATTGGCTTTATCATAATGCTCACACCGGGTGTTCTGGATCAGATCAGATATCTTACGACTCCCTAGTAATAATAAGCATGATGAGTCCCCCACAGCCTTTAACCCCCAGGGAAACACAAAGAGAACTAATGGAAATTTTTCCGACGTGAGTGGCCCAACAGAACATACGTGAGGAATGAAGGAAAGGGACTTTCTGTACTTATAAAGGGGAAGAGGCAGCTGTCCTTCTCCTCTCTTCAAAGGGTCTCCCCACTCCAGTCCTTTGGTATGTTAATGAGTTTCTCCTGGGGCCAGAGTGCCCCAGTGTCTCTTGGCTACACTTTTGGGACCTAGAGATGTCTCCAAATTCCTGGGCTTCACTCCCTGAAGTGTAAGTACGTGGGAAGAGAACACTCTATTCTCCCCAATACCTAGGCACCTAATCCAAGTGTATAACTACTTGGCCCTCTTAGGGAGAGAAGGGAAGTTATACTTCTGAACCAGAGCAATTAACTGGACAAATAAATAGCTGCAGATCTAATGCTCATAGTAGGTGAAGGGTCTAAGACGAAGGCTTTTTACAGGAGCACTGGGAAATTGAGGAGATTTCCCTACAGCTTCTCTCTGGCATCTTTATTCTCTGTCATTGTTTCATTGCTCTCCATTTTTGTGCTGGTACCACACAGTCTCAATTACAATATACTTAAAATAACTCTGATATTTAGTTGGACAGCTACCTCCACCTTTTTGTTATGTTGAAAAGCTTTAGCCATTTATTCTTCAGTAAAATTTTACAACCAGGCCAAGTTTCACCAAAACAAACCCATAGGGGTTTTTATTTTTATTTATTTGTTTTAAAGATTTTATTTATTTGACAGAACGAGAGAGGGAACACAAGCAGGGGGAGTGGGAGAGGGAGAAGCAGGCTTCCTGCTGAGCAGGGAGCCCGATTTGGGGCCGATCCCAGAACTCTGGGATCATGACCTGAGCCAAAGGCAGACGCTTAAGGACTGAGCCACCCAGGCGCCCCCAAACCCATAGCTGTTTTTAATAGAATTGGATTTAATCTGTAAGTCACTTTGGAGAACAGACCAGATACTTTTTTTTTTTTTTTGAGAGCAGGCGCAAAGGGAGAGGGAGAATCTTTCTTTAAAATATTTTATTTATTTTTGAGAGAGAGACAGAGAACGCACACGAGTGAGGGGAGGGGCAGAGGGAGAAGCTGACTCCCGGTTGCGCGGGTAGCCCAAATGCGGAGCTCCATCCCAGGACGCTGGGATCATGACCTGGGGCGAAGGGAGATGCTTCACCAACAGCCAACCAGGTGCCCCTATTTATTTTATTTTATTTTTTTGCAGTTTAGTCTCCAGAATATATGGGTCTTGGGCTCTAGAATAAAATCAGGGTTGGGACTCTTCTGGCTCGGGCTCTAGAATAAATTCAGGGTTGGGACTTTTCTGGCTCCGCCGTTTGGACATCTTGCTTGGACCACTCCTGCCGGTCTCCTCCAGGGCGGAGTTTCGTTCCCTATTCCGCCCCAGAAACTACATTTCCCAGCAGGCTCAAGGCCCGCACCGACGCACTTCCTCCCGGCGTCCCCCGCGGCGGGAAGGAGCCGAGCGGGCTCGAGGCCGACGCGACAAGCCTTCGTTGCCGCCGCCGCCGCCGCCACCGCCGCCACCGCTGTGAGAGGAGTCGCCGCGGCCGTCCCTGCCGCCCTCGCCGGCCACCATGTCCGCCCAGGCGCAGATGCGGGCCCTGTTGGACCAGCTCATGGGCACGGCCCGGGACGGTGAGTCGGAGCGGCCGGACAGGCGAGGGGTTGGGGCGGGAGTGAGGCGAGGCCGCCGGGCGGCCTGAGGCGGGGGCCGCGACCGTCTGCGCCTGCGCGGGACACCCTCCCCTCCCCCGCGCGCCGACCGCAGGCGCCGGGCCTTTGTCTGAGCCGGTTCGCTTTGGAAGCGGCCGCGGCCGGGTTCTCCCTCGCTGGCGGTGGGTCCCCGGTGGGCTCCTCCCTCGGAGCCCGAGTCGTCGGTGGGGCTTCCGCCCCCTCCCCTTTTGCCGTCCTGCGACTTTCTCCCTGTCCCGCGGCCCGGCGCCGCTCGGGGAGCCGGGGCGTCGGCGAAGGGCTGGCGCCCCCGTGGGCTCCACATCGCTGGCAGCCGGGTGGCGGAGCTCCTCCGAGGCTCCTCGGGGAAGAAGCTACCTACAACCCGAGGGAGCCGGATGGGCCCGGAAACCCCGGCCGTTCCTGTTCTGCACCAAGAGCAGCCGTAAACTGAGCTTTTCTAACGTGGGTTCCTGCCGAGTGCCTTTCCAGCCCCCTTTCCCTCCCAGCCATATAAGAGAGCCTCTGTTTAGCTAGCACTTGGCAGTCGTTAGGTAGGTCGTACAATGACGGTTGTAGGGAGGAGTGAAAGATCATGATGGTTGTCTCAGGAGAAAGCGGTTGCACCTTTGCAAAACTATATACCTGCTGTGGTTTGTGTTTTCTTTTCTACTGAAGTAATGAAGTTGTAAGTTCACATTGGCACATTCGCAGGGCTGTGCAGATTCTTTGCACTTTATTTCATAGGTGAATAAGTGCTTTTTAGCTTTCTTTGTATATTGAGTTGCTTTTGAATTGCTTCCCATATTTTTATTTCATACAAACTGAACAATTGTGGCCCCTCTATTTTATTTATAAAGGTTCAGTGTATCTTTGCCTGCCTACATCAATCTGCAAGGGAGTTGCAGAAAAGCCTCATGTTCATCGAGCCGTGAGTCACAACCAATTTCTAAGCTGTTATAACAAAAAAGTGTTTGCTTTTTTTCACAAATAACTTTAAAAGTGTAGTTTAGAAAGAAAACATTTTCAATAAAAAGACACAACATTAATCCTGGATGCTTGCAAATCCTAAAATATATTCCTCCTTTAGTATTACACAGCTCTGTGTATACACAGATTAGCTTTAAAATTTGTCACATTCCACTTTGCCTTTACTTTTATGTATCATTCCCCTGACTTCCTTACTGCAGGTTGGGCAAGAAAACTTTTCCTTTAAAACTTTTCAACAGCGGGCATAAAATTCTGCAGCTGAGGTCTTGAAGAATGCAGATGGGTACAGTATGTGTTGGAACTCACAGTGTGTATTGACTAACCTAGTTCCCTTTTTTTTTTTCTCCTTTGGTATTGTCTTGTTAAAAGTGACTCCCAGGTGCCAACTTTCTTTTTTAAGGGTGGGGGTGAAGGGGATAGGAAGATTAGGTCTAGATTATTTATCAGTCAGTGGTAGAGTTTGAAAGCTTTCTTCTTCATGTGATTTTGGGCAAAATACTGCCTATGCATTTGTGCATGGCAAAATGATTAGATTAATATGTAGCTTCTGTTGGTGGAAACTACTAGCTATAAGTCATATGTGGTGATTCATGGCCCTCTGATTAGCGTGGGTTTTGGTATTACTGCCCACATGTATGTGTGGGGTTAATGGCCTTTTGGTGCTCAGCCTCTTCAGATTCCTTGACTTCTTTGGCACAATGATGGAGTCAGATCTCATTAAGTGTGATTCTTCATGATACATTTAGCATCAAAAAACATCTGTATTCCGCTCCAGTTGTAAATATCTCTAGATCAGCTTTTCATTGTATTTGGTAGTCTGCCAATCATCCAGGTGAATTGTTGTACCGGATATGCTTTGGTGTTTAACCTGATAATATTGTCTTATTTAAAACCACAAATGAATTTCAGGAGACGAAACCAGACAGAGGGTCAAGTTTACAGATGACCGTGTCTGCAAGAGTCACCTTCTGGACTGCTGCCCTCATGATATCCTGGCTGGGACGGTAGGTGTATTCGGGATTGGGGGAATATCACAGAACACTCAGACTTGGGGGCTGTGTAGGCAGTGAAGGTTGAATTGTTTTTCTTTACCAGGCAGAAATCTCCTACTGCCTTTCAAATGATAGATTGTTAGTTTGGTGGAATTTTGTTATGGGGTATACTTCACTGCTATAAAAATTTCTTTTTGTAACTTACTCATATTTTTGTAGAATCATTTATATGGAGGTATTCACAGCTAAGTAGTATGAGAAGTGTCATTTGGCCAAACCAAAAAAGTATGCTTCAGGTCAGCCTATAGTTCTTTGAAAATTCGGGATTGGTGGGTTGGTTTTCATGTTGAACATATGTTAATGCTAGACTTTTGATCTAACGAGGTACTTTTTTTTTTTTTTTTTTTTGATGGGCAGCAATGTAAGGTTTATTGAGTGATAGCCGAGTGATAGTACAAAGTTCCTGAGGAGGGAGGGGATCCAAGAGGGTTGCCCTAACAAGACACATTTCTTACCCAATTCTTAGGTTTTTAATACATCAGTTGGGTATAACACTGAGTTTTTAGTGTTGTGTTACGTTACCCTTTCAAGAAATCAACACATGATCCAATGAATATCGATCCCTGAAATTTTATGTTCACTTTAGAAGAACCAAATAGATAAATACTAGTATTATGTAATGTGCATTTATTCAAAATCAGATAGGATTGGGGCACCTGGGTGACTCAGTTGTTAAGCGTGAGCAAGACTGGCACATTTCCCATCCTTTCTTAAGATTTTACCACAGTAATTGCCAGCACTGCAAGCTGATAAAAATGCTGTGAAAGAAAAGCAGAGACGGGTGCCTGGGGGGCTCAGCCGTTGCGCATCTACCTTCGGCTCAGGTCATGATTCCAGGGTCCTGGGATCAAGCCCCATATCTGGCTCCCTGCTCTGCGGGGAGCCTGCTTCTACCTCTCCCACTCCCCCTGCTTGTGTTTCCTCTCTTGCTGTGTCTCTCTCTGTCAAATAAATAAAATCTTAAAAAAAGACAAAAACAAAATCAGATAGGATTGAAGAAGACTAAAAGCTGGAGAATTATCTACCATGATTCAGCCACATAGAGAAAAGGAGTCCTGTAAATACCACCACCGTTCCACCATTTTCAGATTGCACAGCCACTTAATGGAATATAAAACCGTCTGCTCATTTTAAGGGTCACATGTTCATCCACTAGGGAACATTTTCTTCATGATTAATTGTTGCTTTTCTCATTACCATTGTGAGGGGAGCAGCCTGTGGAAAACCGCATATATGTATTAGATCTTCTCAAGCTGACTCTACAGAGAGCAAATAGGAAATGAATGTCAAACTGTACCTTTGTTACCTGAGGTTTTGCCTGTAGTTTGACCTAGTATAGGGATATGTTTTGCTGTGGATTGTTGTGGGTACCATTAACATAGATTAATGGCTTCCACTAGTTAAAAGCAGTTCTGCTGAAGGAAAATCCTGTAGGGGAGGCATCATAACCTGGAATTGTTGATGGATCTTAGTGGGAGAAGCCAAGGAGCAGAGGGATGGATGTGCACGAGTGTGAAGCATTTCAGTTTTTTGAGGGAGGGCTGGGGGGTGTCAGATCCCTGGGTAGCATTGTTCCAGAATGCTGGTGAGAAAAATAACCAGAATGGGGGCATTTCCTACAAATATTTATTGTGTGTTAGTTACAGATTAACTCATCAAATAGTCCATTGAACACCTGCTGTGTGCCAGGCACTGGATATATGGTGCCAGTAAAATAAAGTCTTTACTTTATCCAGTGGAGGAAGAGGATAGACAATAAATGAATAGATAACGGGTTGTTTTAGGTAGAGTGATAAAAGGTTTCTCAGGGACATTGGAGCAGAGACTTGAATGGTAAGAAAGATCGTGCACAGTTTGGGGTTAGAATGCCCTGGGTGAAAGATGGAGCCGGCGGACAGCAGGCATGCTGCTGGCGTGTCTGGAGTGGTGAGAGTGAGGGGGAGAGGCGGGAGAGGCAGGCAGAGGCTGTGGAATCAGATGAGTTGTGAGAAGCCATGGACTGAGCAGGTTGGCCAGGGATGGCTCCGCAAGGGGAATCTAAGAAGAAGCCGACTAGGATGATTAGGATTAGGATGAGGGTTGAGAAATTGGATGGGGGTGGGTGTAAAAGGTGAGCCTCACTGGTATGGGCTCCATGGAAGTGGGAAGTGAGGAGTGGAGTTGAATGATGGGTCTTCTGATGAGTTTGTGTTTTGTGTAAAATTGAAATGGAATGAATGTGATTAAATTTTTAGAGCAAAGTGGCTAAATGAAGGTGGTTGTAACCTTCAGTCTTCTAAGGATTGCTCCAGGCCCAAGTTGTTGCTCAAAACCATCTCCTGTCACTGGTAGGGGTGAGGCAAGGAGGAATGGAAGTTATAGTTTTATTGAGGCTTAATGGGAAAATACAGTATTGGTTAGTAAGTTTGGCAGAGTAAGATAGCTGGAGGGAATGTAGTGTAACAAGTTACACTTGTCTCAGTGGAAAAACTTCTGTTTTCCAAACGTTCTAGAAGGAGCCTTTAGTACCCTTCCCTGTCAGCAGTGTGAGACCACTAGAGGGTAGACAACACAGGTGTTTGGTAAAAAAAGATCTGACACACTGGATTTAACAGCCACTTAAAATCTTTTGGAAGAGGACTTACTGTAGTATTTCAACTCTGTGTGGTGTTTAGCTGCCAGGGGAATTGGCCAGTACTTCCCTACCTCCTTGGCAAAACTGAAAATACACAGTCGGAGAGTAACCGTGGAACCCAGCCCCGTCCTCTGCTTGCATTAGCCATGGCTTTTTGAGAGTTCTCACCCAAAGGAAGGCTAGCAGTGAATTTTTGCTTCATGGATGGTTCGCTAATGTCAAAACTTTCTTGACAGTTGAAGTTTCTAGAATGGAAATTTATTTGTACTTAAAATGCTTAGTAGTTAAGGTTTTAGTGCTTACTTCTCCTGGTGGTAGGTTTTCTTTGAGATACAGAGTTTTCATTAGCTTTTAAGCATTTCTGGTGTTTGTCAGTTATTTTGCAGCTGTGGTGCTTGCTTTTCATTTGTGGAGACTGTATATTTTAAAGAATCATACTGATGCTTAAAAGAGTGAACGAAGCAAAAGTTGTCAGCAATATAGGGACAGCGATTCTGGCTACAACTTTGGCTTATAGAATTACTGTTGCCCTACCTCTGGATCCCCCCCATGTGACCAACATACATGAACTCATATGACTTTTTTTTTTTTTTAAGATTTTATTTATTCATTTGAGAGAGAGAGAATGGGAGAGAGAGAGCATGAGAGGGGGGAGCATCAGAGGGAGAAGCAGACTCTCCGCTGAACAGGGAGACCGATGTGGGACTCGATCCTGAAACTCCAGGGTCACGACCTGAGCCGAAGGCAATTGCTTAACCAACTGAGCCACCCAGGCGTCCCCCTCGCTAATCAATCTTACAGCAAGTACGCTCCATGGCTCGTCCCTACAGCTGGTTGTTATGCATACAAGCGGTTTAAGAACGTCTCCTACACAAGGAGGCCAGGAGCGGCCCAAGTATTCTGACAGCGGTCCAACACGGGGTATGAGAGGCACCCACAGTATCCCAGCAGGCTGCACTGAATTTTTGGCGGAGCAAAGCAGAAGCCAGACAATGACATCTATAGTGTTCTGTTGCTTACAGATGAACAACTATTTTCTCTCTTCACCAAAAAAAACATCTGAAGACAAAGAACAGGCCCGACATCATCTTTCAGACGAGAACAAATTGGAAGGTCCTGGTTCCTGGATAAAGGCACGTGCAGTCAGCGCTCACCAGCCTGACCGAGGATGGTTCCCGGTACCTCCCAAGTGTCAGTCAAGGATGAACATCCATCTGCACTTCGGACAGGTAACTATTACACAGAATAACTTTCATAGTTTGTCCAGAAAATAGCACAGAGTAGCCTTTTCCCTGAATTCTAAGGCAGATTTTATCTCCTTTGACTGCTACACTGGTGTTACTTCTTGTCTTTTTTTTTTTTTTTTGACAGAGAGAGACACAGCGAGAGAGGGAACACAAGCAGGCGGAATGAGAGGGAGAAGCAGGCCTCCCGCAGAGCAGAGAGCCCGATGCGGGGCTTGATCCCAGGACCCCGGGACCATGACCTGAGCCGAAGGCAGACGCTTAACCGACTGAGCCACCCAGGCGCCCCTTTAAAGATTTATTTGAGAGACAGAGAATGAGAGAGAGCACAAGAGGGGAGAGGGTCAGAGGGAGAAGCAGACTCCCTGCTGAGCAGGGAGCCTGGACGCGGGGCTCGATCCCAGGACCCCGGGATCATGACCTGATCTGAAGGCGGACGCTCCACGACTGAGCCACCCAGGCGCCCCACTTCTTGTCTTTACACTAAGGGAAGGGGGTGTGTGGGGGGGAAGCAAAAGCCCTTAAAAAGATAAAGCGTAACTCTTACTCCATCACTTTTTTTTTTTTTTAAAGATTTTTATTTATTTATTCATGAGAGACAGAGAGAGAGAGGCAGAGGGAGAAGCAGGCTCCCAAGGAGCAGAGAGCCCGATGTGGGACTC